AAGTCAACTGTCAAGTCAAAGGTACCACGCCAGGCCCTTGGTTGGATACATCCACTTGTTGTGCGCAGGTACCAAGACATGCATCCAGGCCGAAGAGGATACAGTTTCAGATCGATCCAGGCCCTGCCCGGTGTCAAGATCTGAACGGCTGGAGTCTGCAGCAGCCGGGGTCCAGACCCCGAGTCAACGCTACATAAGCATGGACTCCCTGGCTTTGACATTCATTCTTTATGTCTTGCGTTGACGCTGCTCTACGCGTTGACGGCACATCGCTGGCTGGACGCTGCGATGCAGATGGACGCTGGCATTACGCTGGCATTGGCGAGATAGCAGCAACACGCTGCTGGCTGGTGCGCTGACTGGCTGGCTACTGTCTTCAAGGCTTGCTGATGTGGCATTGCCACGTGTTGCTGCTGACGTGGCTGCTGCCACATGTGACATCGCCGGGTCTACAGGACCGGCATTGCTGTTCTATTCTATCATCACTTCAGGGAGATGTCAAGGCTGTTTCATCGTCAGTTCAGGAGGAGATCGGGTCTGTGAGGAGGTTGTGGATACGTACCTGGGATCTTCATGTCAATGTGACTCCAGCGCTGATGAGAGGTTGATTGGGTTCCACGTGGCACATTGTAACAGGACTTCGATATGTGTTCAGATTACTGGATATTGTGAGGTGGCGGTCAAGGAAGGAGCCCGGAGAAGGAGTGGGCATTGTATCTTCCTCTCCTTTGTCTCATCTCCCTCCTTCCTCTTCGTCTGTGTATGATTATCTCACCTCTCTCTTTCTGGATACTATTTGATTATTGAAAACTATCAGCGGCTCGATAATCTGGACTTGCACTGTTGACATTCGTATTCCTGACTTGGGTTCATTACAACTTGGTATCAGATCAGTACTCCTGTCTACTACGACGATAACGACGACGAAGATACACGTTTGCAAGCGCCAGGTGGCGCCAGGTAAGTATGAGGAAGTGCTCAATCGCGATTATAATCGCGCGGCAGTCTAAACAGGGCACTTTCCTCGTTTGAAGACCTCCACACGTGACAAGATGATGATGAGGAAGTTGTGCTATTGATGACAACGAAGACTGCTGGTGAGAAGACTATTCAGGATACCGATCCCGACACATGTGCTGACGTGGCAGTTGGGATACCAGCCGGGATCGCGACTGAAGGTCGTGACAGTCTGCGGACGTGGCATAAGATGTGCCACGTCCCAGGATCTGGTTGCTGACGTGGCAAGTATCGTTGCGTTCGTCGCTGACATGCGATCAAATCCTGAGCAAGAGCTGACGTGGCTCTTGGAGGAGCTTATTGCTGACGTGGCAGGAGAGGATTACCGCACTTGTCTTTTGATGTGGTGATAACTTGATGACGTGGCATTACTCCGTGGGCTGACGTGGCGTTGTTCCGATTGGCTGGCTTGACGACGGTAACACAAGACGACACGTGGATGAGGCACGTGGGAAGGACAGGGAACACATTGCTGACGTGGCATCCCATCATTTGTTGATTGGACTTCGCTGACGTGGCAAGTTTGCTATGTTGGTATGCCAGGGATGACACGTGGCAGGCAGGAAGCTGCCTAAGTGAGAGACTGCATTCCGACGACGACGGCGGTACGGCTGAGTGAAGGGTTGATTGGACAGCTGTAGTGCCAGCTGTCAAGCGGTGTGCTATAACACGTTGGCACAAGGACTGATGCAAGGAAGAAGAGGAATACTGACACATTGTTGTTGTTTGGTGTTGGTATACTTACCTTGTGTTGCTTGTTGTGGTGTTGTGCGTATTCACTTGTGTGTTGCATCTGATCACACGGCCTGAAGTGGTACCTGTAGAATCTGGATAGGACATCATCACATAGATCAAGAACCGAACAGCATTAGTAGTAAATTAAATAATTGAACTTATTTTTCTCCTTCAGTTACAAATAAACCCTGCTGTTGTAGAATCGTGCGGTTGTGGAATTTATTACTGTTTGTTAATTGTTTATTGTGCAGCGAACACACATTACAATGTCTCAATCCTTCGAGTCTGAGACTGTTGGGGAGCTACCCGATCCCCGAACCAGGCAACTGATAACCGAGCGGAAAAAAGTATTAACCGCCCGCTTGGCTACCTTGATTTCTGAACTTCATGACGCTGGTGCAGAGGCGGAAGCCCACGTCCGGAGTCAATTTGACTTGGAAGCAGCACATGCTGCTCTCGAGGCAGCTGAGACGAGCACTGACGTCATTCAAGTTCAGGAGATACTTATCAAGTGTCGTCAGACACTCGATAAGTACATTATGGACCAGTTTAATGAGATTGCTAATGGAAGTGAAAAGAAAGAAGTGCCTGTGACTGAGGAAACCGTGGATGAGAATATCCGCCAGCTTGAGGAAGCACTTGAGAGAGAGAAGAACCGAAAGGAGGAACTCAGAAGAGAAAAAGAAAGAAATAGACAGCAAGAACAGAAAATCGAAGAGATCAAATGGTGATAACTGAATGGGAAGAACAGACCGTTTCTTGGAATCAACTTGTGAATTATCTCGACTTGATGAGCTTACCGCAGGTCTACAGACTGTCACGAATCTGGTCAAAGGAAAGAACAACGTGGTTGAGCAAGAGAAGGAAGAGAAACCCAAGAAACTGATGGGAGATGCGATGAAGTCTCTCAGGATAGAAACGCAGACACCGAAAGAGAAGAAAACTGAAGAAAAGAAAGGGGAACCGTCGAGTCCGCCGGGTTCTCCACACAGAAAGAAAGAAGGCCCTGCACAACCGGAGAAACCAAAAAAGAAGGACAAAGTTAAAATGAAACTGCCTTTCACGTTCTGCAATAAGAAGGACGAAAATTTGCTATTATAGATTGCTGAGATTCAGACATATTGTGGTACGGCACCTGTTGAGCCCGAATCCCAGGTGGCTTTCTCTACTCCTTGCTTAGGGGGGGAGGCTAAGGAATGGGTTTTGGTCGAAGCCAACGCAGCTGGGTTCGATGCCATTGGGGACTGGGCTGGGACAATGACGCTGAAGCAGTTCCTTGGAAAGATCAAGGAACGCTTCTTGGACAAGACCACGACTGATAAGGCCTTCGACCAGCTCACAACCATTGGTCAGAAACATTGGACCTTGGTGGAAGCCCTGTCTCGGGAGGTTGACCGGTTGCTGCAGGTTCCAGKATTGAACMTGCAAGACAACCAAGTCTTGTACRTATACTCCCGTGCTCTGCCCGAGCCCATCCGGGGACAGCTCGTGGCAGATTCAAAATCTGGCAAATATAATTATAGGCAGTTCCGTGATTTGGCTCTCCAAAGAGAGCAAATGACATCTCAGGTTAAAAACATGTATGCATCTGTTGTGAAGTATGGTGGTGGTGCAGGTGCAGGCAAGCGAGTACTCTGGCACCAAAAGCGTCAGGATCACACCCTCAAAGACGACGATACTGTGGAGAAGTGGTCGTTGGAGGCCGAGGGTGTAACGAGCAGCAGTGAGTCCGGAAAGGGGGACGTCACTGCTTCCATGGTCAATAAGGGAGGACCACGACCGCCAGGAAAAAAAAGGAGACCGCGCTCGTTCCCGAAGCATCCCAGCATTGCGGTCGGGAAGCCCTCGGAGAAGATGGATATGTACCAAAAGACTTGGCAAGAACGGATGGACGATGCGCAGTGCCTAAAATGTGGAACTGCGGGGCATGTGATTGCATGGTGCCCGTTAATCCGGAACCCAAAAGCGAGCCGCCAGTAGGAGTAGCATCTGCTCCTACTGAGTTGAAGGGTTTAGATGATGAGAAAGGTAAGGCGCCTACTAACCCTTTCAACCCTTCGACTCGCATGGCAGAGGATGTATCTTCTCCAGCCCATCGTCCAGAACACCCTGAACCTGTCTTATGTACCGTCTCTCTGGACGACTCCCTTGACGAGCTTGGTAACAAATTGCTGGCATTACGAAGCTCGTGGGCAAAGAAATCAAAGTCTAAGGGTGAACTTTTACTCGCGGATGTAGAAATCGCACACGTACGCGCGGGTGCACTATTAGACTCAAGATCTACGCGATCCTACATATCCGAGAAAGCAATCCGCAAATTGCATCTCAGAATGAAGGTAAAAAACTTGTCTCGACCTATCACGTCTATCCTGGCAGACAAAAGCACGATCACCGTCTCACAATATGTTGATCGTGTGAAGTGTCGCTTCCGTACGAGGGACGGAAAGAAGATGATGCATCAAATTTCTTTTCTAGTTGAGAAGAACTTACCGTTTGACATGATTCTGGGGATGGATTGGCACGAGGCAGCCATCCTATACATCAAGTTCAAAGATAAGGTTGTGCAATTGCGGGACGCACAATCAAAACTGAAAGCCATCAAATTGTATCATAAGTCTGGCTCTGACTCAAGTTTGTCTTTTTGTTGCATGAGTTACCCAGCCTTTCGTTCGATGGTCTCAAAGAAGAAACTGGAACAGGAAGTAATGGTTGTCCTAGTGAAGCAAGTTGGCGAGTCCTCTACTTCCTATCCACCTTCGATTGAAAAAACTCATAGACGAGTATAAAGATCTATTAATTGAACCAACAGGAACGACTGAGCGTGCCATAAAGCACACCATTGAGATTATTCCTCGCAGTAAGACTCCCAAGGGCCCTATTTTATAGAATGTTTCCTAGGGAACTTGAGGAACTGAGGAAACAACTCCAGGACTTAACTGAGAAAGGATGGATTCGCCCTAGCTCTTCTCCTTATGGCGCTCCTGTCTTGTTCGTGCCTAAAAAGGAAGGTGAGTTACGTCTTTGCATTGATTATAGAGGGCTGAACTCTGTCACTGTCAAAAATGTCGAACCCCTACCGCGTATTGACGACTTTTTTAGCAAGATTGATCTAAAGTTTGGATACAACCAGATCGAGGTGGATCCCGCAGATCAACACAAGACTGCTTTCCGAACAAGGTATGGTCACTACGAGTTCGTGGTAATGCCTTTTGGACTGACAAATGCCCCAGCAACCTTCCAAAGGTCCATGAATGAATTATTCCGTCAATGGTTGGACCAGTTCGTCATTGTGTATCTTGATGACATTCTAGTGTATAGTAAAACACTAGAAGATCATGAGAAACACCTACGTCTTGTATTGGGGAAGTTGGGCGAAGGTAACTTCAAACTGAACCCGAAGATGGTCTAAGGCCTGAGGAAAAGAAAATATCGGCAATTAGAGATTGACCGCAACCTAAGTCTATCACCGAATTACGCTCTTTTCTTGGTTTGGCAAGTTACTGTAGGAAGTTTGTTAGAAACTTCTCACTGATCGCCGCACCAATGAGGAAATTGCTAAAGAAAGGAACTGTATGGTTGTGGGATAAGGATTGTGAGTCTGCATTTAAGAAACTAAAGTATGCATTGACCCACTATCCTGTTCTGAAATTTGCTGACCCATCTCTTCCTTTTACTGTTACAACTGACGCAAGTCAGTATGGAATTGGCGCAGTCCTTCAACAGGACGATGGCAAAGGTTACAGACCAGTCGAATTTATGTCTGCCCGTTTGCCCAATGAAAAAGTTGCCAACTCCGCATATGAAAGGGAATTATATGCCTTGGTCTGTGCTTTGAAAACCTGGAAGCACTACTTTTTAGAGAGGCACTTCATTGTGTACTCAGACCACTCTACTTTGCAGTGGATAAAGACACAACCTAAGCTCTCTGACAAACTGGTACGATGGTCTGCTTTTCTTGATACCTTTGACTTTGAACTGAAAACAATCAAAGGAAAGTCTAACGTGGTTGCAGATGCATTGTCCAGGCGAAGTGACTTCTTCAGGACTATTGTCTCTTATTTGGATGTAGGGAGTGATTTGAAGGAAAAGATTCGCCAAGGGTATGCTAGTGATCCTATCTGGAAGCCTATCCTTGACACTATTGTCAAAGACCCATCTCTACTTCCCAACTACAAAATAGCCGATGATTTGCTTTTCTTGATTGACCAAACTGAACAAAGACTCTGTATCCCTCACAAAGAAGAGATTAAAAGTCTGGTGATTGGAGAATGTCACGACTTTGAGGGGTACTTTGGGTTCAAAAAAACTTACGCTGAGGTCAGAGAACGCTTCGAGTGGAAGGGACTGAAGGAAGATGTACTAACCTACGTTCGTACATGTCTGGTGTGCCAGAGAAACAAACCTTCACACGAGAACCCTCTTGGTCTACTGAGACCATTACCAATTTCGAGTGAACCAGGTGAGTCTATCTCAATGGACTTCATGAGTCTCACAAAGAGCCGCAATGGCAATAGTCAAGTGATGGTTATTGTTGACCGTTTCTCTAAGTATGCTATGTTTGTTCCCTTACCAGCTGAAGCACGGACTGAACTTGTGATTCAGAAATTTCAGATGCGATGGGTGACTGAATATGGGTTTCCCTTATCTATTGTGTCTGATCGAGATGCGAGATTCACAAGTATGCCAGGGCAAAAGCTGATGGAGGCATACGGTACTCGTTTGACCATGTCGTCAGGGCGACACCGTGAAACGAATGGGCAAAGTGAGCAGATGAACCGCTTGTGCCAACAGCTCTTGCGTATGTACGTAAGACCCGATCAGATCGATTGGGACGAGAACTTACCCAAAATAGCCAGTGCATATAATAGCAGTGTTCATACTGCAACTGGACGTACACCTAATGCACTGCACACGGGGTGGAAACCGAGGCGTCCCATTGATGTATTAACACAGGACCAATTTCTCAGGTTACCGCCAGAGACTCGTGAATATGCAATATTGTTTCAAGAAGACATTAAGAAAGTGAAAGAGAACCTAAAAAAAACTCAAGAACAAATGATAGACCAAGCTAATAAGCATCGTCGGCCATCGACATTTAAGGTAGGTGATTTAGTTTGGGTCAAGTCTAAAGAGTTCTCACTAGAAGAAGATGTGTCTCAGAAACTCCTGCCTGTCTATTTTGGACCCTGGGAAGTTCTCAAAGTCATTGGGGATGCTGAGGGACCGTCTTATCGCATTGATATTCCCCCTCATCTTAAGACTTATCCTGTCTTTCATGCGTCCAAACTATTGCCTTATGTAGAAGGAAATGATTTTCCTAACAGACCCTCTATGATTCCACCATCAATGGAAGGAAGCTATGAAGTCGACAGAATCATAGAACACGGGTTCTTTTCTACAGGAGCACGCGGACGTCCTCAGAAGCAGTTCAAGGTACGTTTCAAATCTTAACAACCATCAGAGGACCGATGGTTCAACAAGAAGGAACTACTTGAGACTGCTCTTGACATCGTTGCTGCTTATGAACGAGGGTTAAAGTCTTAATTGTTTCTGCGGTGGAACTCGAAAACGGGACGGCAGGAATGTAGTAACCCTGTTCAGAAGTAGCCCGGGGCCCAGAACTCGGCCCCAGGCCACGCAGACCAGAATTGGTCTGCGCTGGGCTGTGTGACCAACACATGGCCAGAACTGAGAAGGCTGCACGTGGCTGTGGGACCAAGTGCTAAGATCAGGAAATTCAAGAGTCGAAGTCAACTGTCAAGTCAAAGGTACCACGCCAGGCCCTTGGTTGGATACATCCACTTGTTGTGCGCAGGTACCAAGACATGCATCCAAGCCGAAGAGGATACAGTTTCAGATTGATCCATGCCCTGCCCGGTGTCAAGATCTGGACGGCTGGAGTCTGCAGCAGTCGGGGTCCAGACCCCGAGTCAACGCTACATAAGCATGTCAAGATCTGGACGGCTGGAGTCTGCAGCAGCCGGGGTCCAGACCCCGAGTCAACGCTACATAAGCATGGACTCTCTGGCTTTGACATTCATTCTTTTTGTCTTGCGTTGGCGCTGCTCTACGCGTTGACGACACGTCGCTGGCTGGATGCTGCGATGCCGATGGATGCTGGCATTACGCTGGCATTAGCGAGATAGCAGCAACACGCTGCTGGCTGGTGCGCTGACGGGCTGGCTACTGTCTTCAAGGCTTGCTGATGTGGCATTGCCACGTGTTGCTGCTGACGTGGCTGCTGCCACGTGTTGGACCGGCCTTGTTGTTCTATTCTATCATCACTTCAGGGAGATATCAAGGTTGTTTCATCGCCAGTTCAGGAGGAGATCGGGTCTGTGAGGAGGTTGTGGATATGTACCTGGGATCTTCATGTCAATGAGACTCCAGCGCTGATGAGAGGTTGATTGGGTGCCACGTGGCACATTGTAACAGGACTTCGGTCTGTGTTCAGATTACTGGATATTGTGAGGTGGCGGTCAAGGAAGGAGCCCGGAGAAGGAGTGGGCATTGTATCTTCCTCTCCTTTGTCTTATCTCCCTCCTTCCTCTTCGTCTATGTATGATTATCTCACCTCTCTCTTTTTGGATACTATTTGATTATTGAAAACTATCAGCGGTTCGATAATATGGACTTGCACTGTTGACATTCGTATTCCTGACTTGGGTTCATTACAGCAACCCCTTCGTCACTGCTCTTTGCGATTCTGTTGCCCCTGATAAATGATGGTGATGCGACTGCTGTGGGCAGGCTTATGGAGCTGTTCTGAATTTAAGATGCCTCATGGACTCTAGGAGATGCCTCATCGACTCTAGGTGACGGCATGCTGCTGTGGTGGTTGACTTTAGGCGCCGCTGCCCTAGAGACTCGTGGGATACAAGCAGATGACTTCGACTTTCGACATCAATGATATGTGGTGGCATAGGCTCCAAAAGAGGCACATGACAAGAACACCACCTTGTGTAATTGTATGCATTTGTTACCTAAGATATCATCGGATTCATCGCCAATGCATCCTGCTGTCGACGTATGATTGAAATCCTATCATCGTCAGTTGTTATTGTATTGACTGGCAATCAATCAGTAATGCATCAGCTGCTATTGTATTGATGGCATTGAGAGTCATCTTTACCAAAGTGAGGGCTTGGCTTTTATTTGCTGGAGTGCAGGGAGCCTTCTGAC